AGTCTGGGTGACAGAGTGAGACTCCAACTCAAAACAAAACAAAACAAAACAAAAAAACAGTCCAGGTTTGGTGACTCAGCCTGTAATTCTAGCATTTTGGGAGGCTGAGGTGAGTAAATTACCTGAGCCCTCGGGTTCAAGACCAGCCCAGGCAACTTGTCGAGACCTCATCTCTACAATAAATAAAAAAATTAGCCAGGCATGGTAGCGTGCACCTGTAGTTATGACTACTTGGAAGGCTGAGGCGGAAGGATCACCAGAGCCCAGGAGGTCAACGCTGGGGTGGCCATGAGTGCGCCACGGCACTCCAACCTGGGTGACAGAGTGAGACTCCAATTCAAACGAACAAACAAACAAAAACACCAACAGACTTCAAGACAGTGTGGAACTGGATACTAGCCAAGGAGACTGGAAATACACACTCTGATCTCTTACCGCAATAGAAATAGGCCTTTCAAGATGTAGACCAATGAGAAGGGGCTTTAGAAATAAAATGTTACATACATCTATTATCTTTTGCCACCTAACAGACCATTTCAAAACTTAGTGGTGGTTAAAAACAACAATTTATGATGCCTATGATACTGAGCATAGTACTGGACAGTTCTCCTGGTCTCCGCTTCTGGGTTTCCTCTGGGCTTTCTCACGCAGATGCATCAGGACTGGCCTAAGCTGAGCCCTCTCTCCTTACAAGATGTTTCATCCCAGGCTCCTCCATGGTACGGCAGTTTCAGGCCAGCATCCCAAGAGGGTGAAAGTGAAAGCTGCAAAGCCTCTTGATGTTATGAGTCATGTAATGCCACTCCTACCAAATTGTATTAGTCAAAGCAAGCCACAGGGACAGCCACAAGGAAACAGATTTCATCTCTTGATGGAGAGAGCAGTGAAATCACATTGCAATAGTGCATGCAATCTATTACAGAGGACTTGGTGCCCACTGCAAAAACTCCTATATGATGTGGAGTGAGTACAGACACGCTGAAAAGCAAAAATGTCCTTCCATGACTCCTGACCATAGGACACTGGAGAAACTGAGGGCAGTCGAACCTTGGTAGCCTCAGCCAAAACCTTCAATGAATGCAGTTTAGGGAAGAACAAGAAAAGACTAGACAGGGCAATATGAGGGCCAGCAAGAGAGTCCGGTATCAAAAGAGGGCATACATGCTGCTTACCCGCACATCCCAACTCTGCAATGGAACTCATTTTCAGGACGATTTGATTCAGATGCAGTAATTCACCAAGTAATAGTATAACCTTATATTCCAATGATACCTTTTTTTTTTCTTTTTGAGTTGGAGTCTTATCTGTCACCCAGGCTGCAATGCAGTGGCTTGATCACGGTTCACCATACCCTCAACCTCCTGGGCTCAGGTGATCCTTCTGCCTCAGCATCTCAAGTAGCTAGGACTAGAGGCTATCAACCACGCCTGGCTGATTTTCTTATTTTTGTAGAGATAAGATCTCTCTTTGTTGCCTAGGCTGATAACTTTTTTTGTTGTTTTAATCTGGGATAAATTAACTCACTGTCTTCTACCAAACGCCTTGTGAAGTGAGGAGAACAGAGAACCCTCATTTCTCTTTTAGAGCCGGGCTCAGTGTCTCAGCCTGTAATCCCAGCACTTTGGGAGGCCGAGGCGAGTGGATTGCCTGATTCCACGGGTTCGAGACCCATTTGGGCAACTTGGCGAGACCTCATCTCTACAATAAATCAAAAACGAGCCGGGCGTGGTAGTGCGTACCTGTTGTTCCAGCTACTCGGAAGGCTGAGGCGGAAGGCTCGCCGGAGCCCAGCAGGTCGAGGCTGTGGTGGCCGGGAGCGGCCATTGCACTCCAGCCTGGGCGACAGAGTGAGACTCCGACTCAAAAAAAAAAAGAAGAGACAAGGACACCAGGGCCTGGCGGGACTGTCCTCCAGTGGCCCAGGAGCCAGACCGCTCATAACTCCTTCTCAGGTCTTTGACCCATGCTAGAGCATTGTCTTTGTCCCTGCTGCCTACTGAGTCCGCCCATCCCATCTCTTTCCAACAGAGGCGATCAAGTCATTCCCTGGGAATGTGATGTTGTCAGTTCTTAATTCACCAGCATATAAGACTCTGTATACATAACTAGGGACCAACGTCCACCATGTGTGCTTGGGGGCGAGGAATTGTTCAGGCAAGGGCAGCTTATTGAGATTCTGGGAAAGCAATGTTCAAAATTGCCCTTTACTGGGCGTGGTGACTCATGCCTGTCATCCCAGCATTTTGGGAGGACTAGGCAGGAGGATTACTTGAGCCTAGGAGCTCAAAACCAGCCTAGGCAACATAGCGTGACCTCGTCGCTACAAATAATAATAATAATAATAATAATAATAATAATAAACGTTAACTGGGCATGGTGGCACATGCCTGTAGTCCAGCTACTCAGGAGGCTGAGGCAGAAGGATCACCTGAGCCCAGAAGATCGAGGCTGTGGATGAGTCATGTCATGCCACCACACTTCAGCCTGGGCAACAGAGACCCCTACTCAAAAAAAAAAAGCTCATCTCAACCTGCAGGCAGGCTAAGTGTAACTAACTCTACTATGAAATACTTTGATAATAATAAGTCACAGGATGGATATCAGTTTTCTCATTTTTTTTGAGACAAGGTTTCACTCAGTCACAGACTGGAATGGAGTGCAGTGGCATAATCACAGTTCAATCTCCTGGGTTCAGATGATCCTTCCTCCTCAGCCTCCCAAGTAGCTGGGACTACAGGCACACGCCACCATTCCTAGTTAATTTTTCTGTTGTTTTATTTTGTAGAGACGGCGCCTCGCCATGTTGCCCAGGCTGGTCTGGAACTCCTGGGCTCAAGCAATTCTCCCAACTTGGCCTCCCAAAGTGCTGAGATTACAGGTATGGGCTACCATGCCTAGCCAAATATCACTTTTTTTTTTTACATTTATTAAATTTACTCTCAGCCAAGCAGTTAAATACAAAAATACCTATAACTACAAAGTTCATAACCTGTATCTCTTAACCAGGGAATGCGAGGTAAAGGCAACATCAGTTTAAGTAAGTCCTCCATTTCAAATTGGCAACATGTCCTTTGGTTAGCAGTCATCCTTGGAAAACTAGAAAATGCTACTGCCATCAGAATGTCCTGTTCCAACAAGTAGGCCCAGGGCTTGGGCACAGTGTCGCTTGCTATATGGTAAGCAGTTCACTCCATTGCTTTAGCAGCCTCCTCACTCCTCCTCTAGTAAACAACTTCTTGTAGCTGACTTCTGGATAGCTTCCCGTTCTCCATCAGTGCAGTTCTGCAACAAGATCAACAACTGCCTTCTGTTGTAGTGAATTAGGAACTTCTGACATGTTCTAATTGTACCTCCCACATGTAACGTGTTGAAAAAACAAGGCTAACGGTGTCCTTTGTTCTCCAAGTACGTGATGAAGGGAAGAGCTGACCACACAAGCTGGTAGAATTCCTTTCGGCATCGAAGTAGCACTATTCCAGTATAGGCATTGAGGTATAGAACTGCGAAGCCGATCAAGCAAGCAGCCGCGCCGAAGGTCCTGTGTACCTGGGCGATCGTGTCCCATACGAGGCCGTCCAGCACCCGGTCATCCAGGCTCAGGCGGCAGCGGGGGTCGTCAGACATCAGTTTGCAGAGCTGGTACCTATGCTTGAACCGCACCATGGCTCCAAATATCACTTTTTGAAGTACTTTTTTTTTTTTTTTTTTGAGTAGGAGTCTCACTCTTTACCCAGGCTGGAGTGCAGTGGCACACTCACGGCCGCTGCAGCCTTGACCTGCTGGGCTCAGGTGATCCTTCCGCCTCAGCCTTCCAAGTAGCTGGAACCACAGGTGTGTGCCACCACGCCTGGCTAAGTTTTTGATTTATTGTAGAGATGAGGTCTTGACAAGTTGCCCAGGCTGGTCTCAAACCAGTGGGCTCAGGCAATCCTCTTGCCTCGACCTCCCAAAGTGCTGCGATTATAGGCATGAGACACCACGCCCAGCAAGCTATTTAAGTTTAGAAGCATGGGAAAGATGAAGCTGGAGACATGGGAGCTGCTTAGTGAACTGACCCTAGAGGCTAGTCCCCAGGAACAGGGGCCGGGCCAAGGGAGGGCCGAGGGAGGTTATGCTTACTGGGCCTATCTATGAAGGCAGCCAGCAGTGTACAGGGAGAGGGGATGCGAGCATATCACACTGTACCTCGCCCCCCACAGATGACATTTATCAGTTTCACTGCTGCCCAAGAAAGGGGAAATGTACTATCTCCTGCTACCTGGATTCTTAGAAGCTCAATGTGTTGCTTTCCCTTTGGAGTCCTCCAGGAAAATGCAGCTACCAATTCCCACTGACCCTTCCGATGGGCTGAGGGCTCCCCCACCTCTGTCAAGCCCTGTTCCGTGCAAGGCTTAGCCCCAAAATCCCCGGGGATGCCACAACTCAGATACATGACCCACTCAGGAATTCTGGCTTAGAGTGGCAGGACTGTGCTCAAGGCTAGGCTCTTTCCACTCCTGGCATAGGCCTAATCTCACCACTGTGGGATGGCGGGGGTACTACTCTCTAGCTCTGGCCTATGAGAGTAAACTGTTTCATCAAGCCTAGGTCTCTCTTATCTCAAGGCCAATGGCCTTACTATCATTTCAGATGTTTCCCCCCACTAGTCCTTAGTGGTCTTTGCTAGGATTCAGAATACTGTCAAAGTGCTTTGTGAATCGGTATGTTACCTGCTCCTGAATATCATGACAGAATGGGGTCAGCAGATCTAGGTCTGGCCACCAGAGAAACAGGAGTTAAAGTTGGATTAGGGGAATGATAAAAGGGTTCCTATTCAGAAATGTTATGATTGTCTTTGGCTACACAAACATCCTAAAGAATCTGCAAAAAAACTTATTTTTTAGTTGGAGTCTTTGTCGCCCAGGCTGGACTTCGGTGGCATACTCACGGCCACCCCAGTGACAACCTGTTGGGCTCCGGCGATCCTTCCTCCTCAGCCTTCCAAGTAACTGGAACTACAGACACAGGCTACCACACCTGGCTAATTTTTTATTTATTGTAGAGATGAGGTCTCGCCAAGTTGCCTAGGTGGGTCTCGAACCCGCAGGCTCAGGTAATCCACTGGCCTTGGCCACCCAAAGAGCTGGGATTACAGGCCGACCCACCAAGCCTAGCCAAAAGAACTCTTAGAACATGAGTTTGGCAATGTCACAGGATAAAAGGTCAGCATTCAAAAGTCAACTGTATTTCTATATACTAAAAATGTACAGATCGGGGTTCGGTGGCTCAGCCTGTAATCCCGCGCCTTGGGAGGCTGAGGTGAGTGAATTGCCT